TACCTCAGAAAAGTACTACAATTATCACTCCCTCAGCTGACGTACCTCAGAAAGTAGTACAATTATCACTCCCTCAGCTAAACTACCCTCAGAAAGTAGTACAATTATCACTCCCTCAGCTAAACTACCCTCAGAAAGTAGTACAATTATCACTCCCCCTCAACTAAATTACCTCAGAAAGTAGTACAATTACCACTCTCTCAGCTAAACTACCTCAGTAAAGTAGTACAATTACCACACCCTCGCTAAACTACTTCAGAAAAGTAGTACAATTATCACTCCCTCAGCTAAACCACCCTCAGAAAGTAGTACAATTATCACTCCCTCAGCTAAACTACCCTCAGAAAATACAATTATCACTCCCTCAGCTAACCTACCTCAGAAAGTAGTACAATTATCACTCCCTCAGCTAACCTACCTCAGAAAGTACAATTATCACTCCCTCTCAACTAAATTACCTCAGAAAGTAGTACAATTACTACTCTCTCAGCTAAACTACCTCAGAAAAGTAGTACAATTACCACACCCTCGCTAAACGACTTCAGAAAAGTAGTACAATTATCACTCCCTCAGCTAAACCACCCTCAGAAAGTAGTACAATTACCACTCCCTCAGAAAAGTAGTACAATTACCACTCTCTCAGCAGATACAGAGCCCATCATTCCTATCCCACCTGTCTGTCCATCCGTTCTTGTGATCAGTAAATACCGGCAGAGCACTGCTGTGGAGAGGCGCATGGTCCCCACGCCTGTGCCAACTGAAAGCTACACTGCCTGCGGTCCTCACTTAGCCACTGTCCTCCTTCACCAGTGATGCATGGACAGACCACCTGACCACTGGGTTCAGAGTCTCTGCTAAATGTGCACACAGACAGCTGAGAAAAGCAAGCTTGAATCTAATCCCTATTGTTGAGGAATGCCAATGGGCCTGAAGTCTACAGTGACACTGACTTATCCCGTGTCCAACACCTCCATAAGGGCTATGGGCTGCGGGCCTTGTGCTGCATGTGACAAGGGCAGCCTCTGTCCTCAGGAGTCTGCTGTCTAGTGGGAGCAAGATAGGCTGAGGGCCACCTTGGAGTCCTTGTGTGATATCCTAGCAGAAAAGGTTGACAGGGCAGGACAGGGAGCTCTGGTCAGATGCAGAATCGACAGGAGACGCAAGCAGATGGGGCAGGGGATGCTCCTTTGAGCTGCAGCATGAATGAGGTGGTCACGGGCTTTGGGAATGGGCCGGCCTGGCAGGGGCTTGGTGGGTCAGCACACTGACTGCTCTGGGCAGCAGGTGTGGTGAGGATGGTGGGATTTGAGACATTTAGGAGGAAGGAAAAGCTCTTATTAGGGCCACCCTGGAAGCACCTCACAACCACAGCTGCTGGAGATGGAGACGGATGGCGGCAGATGCAGAGGGTGCCCGCAGCACGTGAGCTGGCCGGTATGCCGCGCAGACAAACCAATTTCCCTTAGTGCTCTAGCTGTAATATGTTTTCATAACGCAGAGGATTAAATAAAAACCACCAGTTTAGTGGCATTTTCTATGCATCTCTATTAAGATTTATTCCTCAGCAGAATTATATTTAAGCCTAATTTTAATCTGCCATTGATTTAGGAATAGTTTAAATTACTTAACTCTTAAGAAAAGACATGGCCTTATTTCTTTTTTTTATACAAAATCACTCTGATGGATTTGGTTTACAGTTTGAGAGCAACTTCAACGTAGTCCAATTCCTGAGAGCTGAGTACGCTCCAGTCTCCCAGGTGGAATCTGCTCTGGCACACACAGCAGTGGGGGCATGTGAAGCTCCTGCTAGGCCCAGGGAGGCTGAGCTGGGAGGTGGGTGCTGATGCCTGGAACGGCTCCACCCCCTCTGGCACCTTCCCCGCCTGGTGGCCTGTGGGGTCAGCAGGTCAGCCTCAGCCTCCTGGCTGTGGCCTCAGCACTGGCGGGTGCCTGGCCTTCAGTGGCCCCAGAGAAGGCAGCTGTCCCCTGGCAGTGCTGATGGTGCCCAGGTAGCTACGAGGGCCTTGGTTTTCCACCCGCCCGCAATGGAACAAGGCCCTTTCCTCTGTGGGGCCAGCCAGGCCTCACTCACACTGAGCTGACGACGACGGAGTGGGGGCCCTAGATGCAGGTGTGCCTCACCTGCCAGGCGGCTGTTCACGACGTTGTGTTTCCTCCAGAGCCAGAGCACTGCCTGGTCGGGGGTCCTCACCGTGTCCAGGGACTCCTGTGCCATCTCCTCAAAATGCTTCCCGCATTCTCTGCACCCAAAGAAGGTGCGGACGTACCTCCTCAGGGTCTGCAGCACCGCCTGGGGGGCGCCCTCGAAACCTGCGGAGAATGAACACTGTGGGAACAAGCACACCCCAGACATCTGCCAGTGGAGAGGCTGAGTGTGCCGAGACGCTGGTCTTCCACGGAACCACCCGAGCCGGGAGCTGGCGGGAGCCACGAGACCAGCTGTGCATCTGCAAACACGGGCTGCTTGAATCACGAGGCGCTCTGCTGCAAACAGGAGCCGGTGTCTCCCAAACACAACACAACCAGAGGACACCGCCGTGACAGCCCGTGCATGCTGCACGACCTGACGTGGTCCCCAGGGCCAGCCTGCCAGGCTGTGCATGAGGACCACGGGACCCCAGACCAGGAGCCTGCAGCTAGCTCTGGCATCTCCTTCCAGTGGGTGCACGGTGCACCTTCTGGTCAGGCTAGGGGTGTCTGTCGTGGCCTGGCCACTCCAACAGCTCCTGAGCCTGATAATGTGTGCTCACAGGGATGAGCCATCTGTGAGCACCTCCTCACCGGCCTCACAAGCAGCTCCGAGGCTGGAACCTCGGCCACGATGGCCACGCACCCAAACTCTGCAGTGCCTTCGACGTGAGAGCCTTACACAAGTGCACCTGTGTCCCCGTGACGTCAGGCTCCCCGCCAGCCTTGCACAAGTGCGCTTGTGGCCCCAGGAAGTGATGCCAGGCTCCACGCCAGCCTTGCACAAGCACGCCTGTGGCCCCAGGAAGCGACGCCAGGCTCCGTGCCAGCCTTGCACAAGCACGCCTGTGGCCCCAGGAAGCGACGCCAGGCTCCGCGCCAGCCCTTCGGTGAGTGTGGGCACCAGCAGCTGTGGCCAGGCAGCCCCAGTGCCCCCCTGGGGGTGGTGCATGGCACGTGGGCGGGGGCTTCGTGCGAGCAGACACGACATCACCTACGAGACGCAGGGGAGACAGATGCGGCGGGGACGCAGGGGCAGCTGGGGAGGGGTGCAGCACACACCTGAGGAAGGGCGTCCCTGAGGCGGGAGGATCCTGAGACGCCCAAGGGAAGGCGGCCAGGCCTGGGCCAGGCGACCCAGTCCAGACATCTAATCGGGGATTGAGCGAGCGCACAAAGAAGAGACCCATGAGATTAAAACAGATTAGACGCAGCATTAAAGGAAATGCAGCAAAATAATTGGAAAAAAAAAAAAAAAAGACATGCTTTTGAGGCGGGGATGAATCCGCCTTAATCAGCAGCAGGCCCTCACGAGGTCTGTCTTCACACACAAGGGCCTCTGGGCCTCTGTGGACTCCCCGACTAGTGCAGGACAGCCAGGCGGCCAGCCGGGCCTGAGGATGCACGGCCCTCCTCTATTTCCCCTGGGGGGGGTGCGCTGGGCAGTCGGGACCAGCTCCTCAGGCCAGAGTGACACCAAGGACAACAACCAAGGCCCGTGGGAGCTGCATGTCCCACATGCGGAGGAACACACTGAGGGACATGCCACTTGCCACTGGCCAGGGGTGTCTGCACCCCTCTCTGGGCCTCCGGCAACAGCTGCCGCACATCACCGGGTAATCTCCTTTCCTCGGCCCCCACCGAACCGCTGCACACAGCTACCCTAATCTTTAAAATGGACAAGAATCCTGGCCTCTACCTGGGAGGATTAGAGGCGCAAGGCAGGCTTTCCAGTAGATGGGTTTTAAGCATGCAATAAGGAGAGGGGACCTTCCAAGACATAATCCGCCGCCTCGTCTGACCCAATTTTCCACAGGAGATACGCTCCTTGGGTCCTGCGTCAGCTCACGCTGCTGGAGGGGAAGATGGAAGACCTGTGACCGTGTGCTTAGTCCCACCACTGCCTGCTCCTCCTCACTGCACCAGTGTCTGCTCCGTCGTTTCTTTTTCAAAACCCTTTCAAGGTCTAATTATTTTCTGCTTTAAATTTTTTTTGATACCCTGCATTTTTATTAATGGAAACATGCTAGGTCACGCAGTGTGTTTAAATTTTGGGGTGGTAATATGGATTTTGAGAAATATTATCTGGTACTACATGGTTACCACAAAACTTTTAATTTCTCAAATGCCATAATTAGCAGATGCCTGTCTGTACCTCTGGCCCTTGGTTGCTGGTATTTTTCATGGTTGTCTTTGGCTAGGTTACATGAGGAGCCTCTGGTTCTCCAAATATGACACAAAAAAAACCCAGACCCACCAGGGCTCCCTATCCCATGGGAAACCATACATATGCTTACCAGGCTTACCTAGAGATAAGAAAGCCCGAAGACAACATTTTTACCCAATCACACTTCCTGGTAGCACTACCTTACTTGCAAGCCTCAGACCCCAGATATTTTGCTTCAACTAACGTTTCTTTCCCCTTTCGCCGTTACGCACGTCCCCACTGGAGGGAAGCAAATACTTTCAGTGGTAAAAGTATACTACCAAAGAACCTGAGAGCTGGAAAAAGTGGGTGGTATACCGTACATACCATTGACCAAGCTTCAATAATAGACTTTATTTTTTAAAGCAGTTTTAGGTTTACAGAAAAACTGGGCAGGAAGTCCAGAGTTCCCACGCACCCCATCTCCCACCCTCTTTCCCCTGCCCAGTTTCCTCTATTATTACCATCTTGCATTCCTGTGGTACGTGTATTGCAACTGAGGAACCAATACCGATACACTATGATTAACTGAAGTCCATAGTGAGGTGTTGTTAGGTGCCGTGGAGCAGGTTCTGACTCACAGAGACCCTCTGTGCAACTGGACAAAAAACACTTAGCAGAGTGCTTTTAAGGCTTCTCCACGTCTCCTCGTGGCTTGATGGCTCACTTCCTTTTATCGCTGAATAATACTCCGTTGTGTGCATGTGTCAGGTTGTTTATCCATTCACTTGTTGAAGGACATCTTGGTTGCTTCTGAGTTTTGGCAACTGAGTGAAGCTGCTATAAAGATTCGTGTGAGCAGGTTTTTATGGGGACATACGTTTTTAACCCATTGGGGTAAATACCTAGGAGCGTGACTGCTGGATCGTATGGTCAGCCTGTGTGTAGCTTTGTAAGAAAGTGCCAGACTGTCTCCAAAGTGGCTACGCCGTTCTGCATTCCCAGCAGCAATGAACAAGAGTTCCTGTTGCTCCACATCCTCATCGACATTGGGTGTTGTCAGTCTGCTGGATTTTAGCCACTCTAATGGGTCTGTGGTTTTAATTTGCGATTGCCTAATGACTCACGATGTCGCGCACCTTTTCATGTGCTCACCTGCCACTGGTCTATCTTTTTTGACGAGGTTGTCTGTTCAGATCTTTGTCTACTTTTTAATTGGGTTGTTGGTTTTCTTATGGTTGAGTTTTAAGAGTTCTTTGTATATTTTAGATACAAGTCTCTCATCAGATATGTGTTTTGCAAATATTTGCTCCCAGTCTGTGGCTTGTCTTTTTCACTCTCTCAACTGTCTTTTGTAGAGCAGAAGTTTTCAGTTTTAATGAAGTCGTCATCGTTTCCTTATGAACGTTGTCTTTCATGGATGTGTCTTTGGTATTGTATACAAAAACTCAACACCAAGCCCAGGGTCACATCGATTTTCTCCTGTTATCTCCTAGAAGTTGGATAGTCTTGCATGTTACATTTAGGTATATGATCCATTTTGAGTTAACGTTTCTGAAAGGTGTGAGGTCTGTGCCTGAGTTCATTTTCCTGCATGTGGATGTCCAGTTGTTCTAGCACCATGTGTGGGTCTACCTCTGAGCTCGCTCCTCTGCTCCACTGATCTAGTTGTCTGTTCCTTCGTCAACGCCACCCTGTCTTGATCTCTGTGGCTTTGCAGTTCTGTAACTTTACAGTGAATATCCTGGTGACATCACTTCCTTTCCCTGGCTGCAGACACCGCCTTCCAAAGTGCTCCTCCTTGTGGAGGTGTCATTTGGAGCAGCCCAAAAGGGGGAAACACGTGTTGGCGTCACCTTCTTTATTCTCATGAGAACTTTCCCACTTAAATACGAGGACTCAGTAACTGAGGTTCATGGTTCAGAAAGGGATGTAGACGGCCTGGGTCTGGGGGTCTAGGTGGTCATGACCAGGATGTAGACAGCGTGGGTCTAGATGGTTTAGACGGTCATGACCGGGGTGTAGACAGCCTGGGTCTAGATGGTTTAGACGGTCATGACCGGG